TGGGATAAATTTGGGATTTTTTGGGGATAAATTTGGGATAAATTTGGGATAACTTTGGGATGTTTTGGGATAACTTTGGGATGGTTTTTTTGGGATAATTTTGGGATATTTTGGGATAACTTTGGGATAACTTCGGGATGTTTTTTGGGATACTTTGGGATTTTTTTGGGGATATTTTGGGGTATTTTGGGATAACTTTGGGATGTTTTTTTGGGATAATTTTGGGACACTTTGGGATGTTTTTTGGGATAATTTTGGGATAACTTTGGGATGTTTTTTGGGATAATTTGGGATGTTTTTTTGGGATAATTTTGGGACACTTTGGGATGGTTTTTGGGACACTTTGGGATGTTTTTTGGGATAATTTTGGGATATTTTGGGATAACTTTGGGATAACTTCGGGATGTTTTTTGGGATACTTTGGGATTTTTTTGGGGATATTTTGGGGTATTTTGGGATAACTTTGGGATGTTTTTTTGGGATAATTTTGGGACACTTTGGGATGTTTTTGGGATGTTTTTGGGATACTTTGGGATTTTTTTTGGGATATTTTGGGGTTTTTTGGGATAATTTTGGGATGTTTTGGGATGGTTTTGGGACACTTTGGGATGTTTTTTGGGATAATTTTGGGATATTTTGGGATAACTTTGGGATAACTTCGGGATGTTTTTTGGGATACTTTGGGATAACTTTGGGATATTTTGGGATGTTTTTTGGGATGTTTTGGGATAACTTTGGGATGTTTTTGGGATACTTTGGGATGGTTTTTTTTGGGATATTTTGGGGTATTTTGGGATAACTTTGAGATTTTTTTTGGGATAACTTTGGGATTTTTTTGGGATAACTTTGAGATGTTTTTTTGGGATAAATCTGGGAATTTTTGGGAATTGTCTCACGGTGAAAGCCAGCTCCTGCCCCCGCAGCAGCCAGACCCCCGAGATGCTGCTGTCGTGGTCGCTGCCGAACAGAATGACGGAGGCGAAGGCGTTCTTGCGCAGCTTGTCCAGGCGCTGGAACATCCCTGCGGAGAAACAGCGGCACCGGGGCTGGAACCGGGAATAACGGGGGTGGAAACACGGGAATAACGGGGATGGAACCGGGAATAACGGGGATGGAACCGGGAATAACGGGGATGGAAACACACGGGAATAACGGGAATGGAACCGGGAACAACGGGGATGGAACCGGGAATAACGGGGGTGGAACCGGGAATGGAAACACGGGAATAACGGGGATGGAAACACACGGGAATAACGGGGATGGAAAACACGGGAACAACGGGAGAAAACACGGGAATGGAACCGGGAATAACGGGGATGGAAACACACGGGAATAACGGGAATGGAACCGGGAATAACGGGGAAAAACATGGGAATAATGGGGGAAAACATGGGAATAACGGGAATGGAAACACGGGAATGGAACCGGGAATAACGGGTGAAAACACGGGAATAACGGGGAAAAACATGGGAATGGAACACGGGAATAACGGGGATGGAACACGGGAATAACGGGGATGGAAACACGGGAATAACGGGAATGGAACCGGGAATAACGGGGATGGGAACACACGGGAATAACGGGGGTGGAAACACGGGAACAACGGGAGAAAACACGGGAATGGAACCGGGAATAAAGGGGATGGAACCGGGAATAACGGGAGAAAACATGGGAATAACGGGGAAAAATGCGGGAATGGAACCGGGAATAACGGGGATGGAAACACACGGGAATAACGGGGATGGAACCACGGGAATAACGGGGATGGGAACATGGGAATAACGGGGATGGAACCGGGAATAACGGGGATGGAACCAGGAATAACGGGGGTGGAAACACGGGAATAACGGGGATGGGAACATGGGAATAACGGGGATGGAAACACGGGAATAACGGGAATGGAACACGGGAATAACGGGGATGGAACCGGGAATGACGGGGATGGAACCGGGAATAACGGGAATGGAACTGGGAACAACGGGAATGGAACACGGGAATAACGGGGATGGAAAACACGGGAATAACGGGAATGGAACCGGGAATAACGGGAATGGGAACATGGGAATGGAACCGGGAACAACGGGAGAAAACCATGGGAATAACGGGGAAAAACATGGGAATGGAACCGGGAACAACGGGGATGGAACCGGGAATAACGGGAGAAAACCATGGGAATAACGGGAATGGAACCCGGAACAACGGGGATGGCAAACACGGGAATAACGGGGAAAAACGTGGGAATGGAACCGGGAATAACGGGGATGGAACTGGGAATAACGGGAGAAAACACGGGAATAACGGGAATGGAAACACGGGAATGGAACCGGGAATAACGGGAATGGAACCGGGAATAACGGGAGAAAACCATGGGAATAACGGGAATGGAACCCGGAACAACGGGGATGGCAAACACGGGAATAACGGGGAAAAACGTGGGAATGGAACCGGGAATAACGGGGATGGAACCGGGAACAACGGGGATGGAAACACGGGAATAACGGGAGAAAACACGGGAATGGAACCGGGAATAACGGGAATGGAACCGGGAATAACGGGAATGGAAACACGGGAATAACGGGGATGGAACCGGGAATAACGGGGATGGAAACACACGGGAATAACGGGGGTGGAAACACGGGAACAACGGGAGAAAACACGGGAATGGAACCGGGAATAAAGGGGATGGAACCGGGAATAACGGGAGAAAACATGGGAATAACGGGGAAAATGCGGGAATGGAACCGGGAATAACGGGGGTGGAAACACGGGAATAACGGGAATGGAACGCGGGAATAACGGGAATGGAACCGGGAATAACGGGAGAAAACATGGGAATAACAGGGATGGAAACACGGGAATGGAACACGGGAATAACGGGAATGGAAACACACGGGAATAATGGGAGAAAACCATGGGAATAACGGGAATGGAACCGGGAATAACGGGGATGGAAACACACGGGAATAACGGGGAAAAACACGGGAATGGAACCGGGAATAACGGGGATGGAAACACGGGAATGGAACCAGGAATAACGGGAATGGAACCGGGAATAACGGGAGAAAACACGGGAATAACGGGAATGGAACACGGGAATAACGGGAATGGAACCCGGGAATAACAGGGATGGAAACACACGGGAATAACGGGGAAAAACATAGGAATGGAACTGGGAACAACGGGGATGGAACCGGGAATAACGGGAGAAAACATGGGAATAACGGGGATGGAAACACACGGGAATGGAACCGGGAATAACGGGGATGGGCACATGGGAATGGAGCCGGGAATAACGGGGCTGGAACCGGGAACAACGGGGCTGGAACCGGGAACAACGGGGATGGAAACACGGGAATGGAACCGGGAATAACGGGGAAAAACGCGGGAATGGAACCGGGAATAACGGGAATGGAAACACGGGAATAACGGGGATGGAACCGGGAATAACGGGGATGGAACCGGGAATAACGGGGATGGAAACACCGGGAATAACGGGAATGGAACCGGGAATAACGGGGGGGAAACACACGGGAATAACGGGGATGGAAACACGGGAATAACGGGGATGGAAACACGGGGATGGAACCGGGAATAACAGGAATGGAACCGGGAATAACGGGAATGGAACCGGGAATAACGGGAATGGAACCGGGAATAACGGGAATGGAAACACACGGGAATAACGGGAGAAAACCATGGGAATAACGGGGATGGAACCGGGAATAACAGGGATGGAAAAACACGGGAATGGAACCGGGAATAACGGGAATGGAACCGGGAACAACGGGAATGGAACCGTGAATAACGGGAATGGAACGTGGGAATAACGGGAATGGAACCGGGAATAACGGGGATGGAAACACACGGGAATAATGGGAATGGAACCGGGAATAACGGGGATGGAAACACACGGGAATAACGGGGATGGAACCGGGAATAACGGGGATGGAACACGGGAATAACGGGGATGGAAACACACGGGAATAACGGGGATGGAAACACGGGAATAACGGGGATGGAAACATGGGAATAACGGGGATGGAACCGGGAATAACGGGAATGGAAACACGGGAATAATGCACGGGAAAATGGGAATAAAACACGGGAAAATGGGAATAAAACCCTGGGAAAAACGGGAATAAAACACGGGAATAATGGGAAAATGGGAATGAAAGGAGAACAGTGAGGACAGTGGAGATGGTGAGGATGAGGACGATGAGGATGAGGAAGATGAGGACAGTGAGAACAGTGAGGATGATGATGATGATGAGGACGGTGAGGATGATGTGAGGATGAGGAGGACAATGAGGATGAGGATGGTGAGGATGAGGATGATGAAGACAATGAGAACAGTGAGGATGATGACAATGAGGACAGTGAGGACGGTGAGGATGATGATGACAATGAGGACAATGAGGATGGTGAGGATGAGGACGATGAGGATGAGGAAGATGAGGACAGTGAGAACAGTGAGGATGATGATGATGATGAGAACGGTGAGGATGATGTGAGGATGAGGACGATGAGGATGAGGATGGTGAGGATGATGAGGACAATGAGGATGAGGACAGTGAGGACAATGAGGATGAGGATGATGAAGACAATGAGAACAGTGAGGATGATGATGATGATGACAATGAGGACAATGAGGATGGTGAGGATGAGGATGGTGAGGATGAGGAAGATGAGGACAATGAGAACAGTGAGGATGATGATGAGGATGAGAACAATGAGGACAATGAGGATGAGGATGGTGAGGACAGTGAGGAAGATGAGGACAATGAGAGCAGTGAGGATGATGATGATGAGGACAGTGAGGATGATGGGGACAATGAGGATGAGGACGGTGAGGATGATGATGAGGATGATGAAGACAATGAGAACAGTGAGGATGATGACAATGAGGACAGTGAGGATGACGATGAGGATGGTGAGGAGGATGGTGAGGAGGACAATGAGGATGAGGATGGTGAGGATGATGAGGACAATGAGGATGAGGACAGTGAGGACAACGAGGACAATGAGGATGAGGATGAGGATGGTGAGGAGGATGAGGATGATGATGAGGACAATGATGATGAGGATAAGGACAATGAGAATGAGGACAATGAGGATGAGGATGATGATGATGAGGACAGTGAGAATGGTGAGGACAGTGAGGACAATGAGGATGACGATGAGGATGGTGAGGATGATGAAGACAATGAGAACAGTGAGGATGATGAGGAGGACAATGAGGATGATGATGATGAGGACAATAAGGATGATGATGAGGATGATGATGAGGAAGATGAGGACAATGAGAACAGTGAGGATGACAACAGTGAGGACAATGAGGATGAGAATGATGACGAGGACAATGAGAACAGTGAGGATGATGATGATGAGGACAAGGAAGATGATGATGACACTGAGGACAATGAGGATGATGATGATGATGACTAGGACAATGAGAACAGTGAGGATGATGATGATGAGGATGATGACAGTGAGGACAATGAGGATGAGGATGATGAGGACAAGGAAGATGATGATGATGACACTGAGGACAATGAGGATGAGCATTTTGAGGACAATGAGAACAGTGAGGATGAAGACAGTGAGGACAATGAGGATGATGATGATGATGATGATGAGGACAATGATGATGATGACAGTGAGGACAATGAGGATGAGGACAGCGAGGACAATGAGGATGATGATGATGACGAAGATGAGGATGGTGAGGATGATGAAGACAATGAGAACAGTGAGGATGATGACAGGGAGGATGATGAGGATGATGATGATGACGAGGACAATGAGGATGATGATGATGATGATGAGGACAATGATGATGATGACAGTGACGACAATGAGGATGATGATGAGGATGATGATGATACCGAGGACAATGAGAACAGTGAGGATGATGACAGGGAGGACAATGAGGATGATGATGATGATGCCGAGGACAATGAGAACAGTGAGGACAATGAGGATGATGATGATGCCGAGGACAATGAGGATGAGGATGATGATGAGGACAATGAGGATGATGACAGTGAAGACAATGAGGATGAGGATGATGACAGGGAGGACGATATTGACGCTGCTGAGGCCGAAGGCAGGTACCTGTGATGAGGTTGCAGCTCATGAAGGTCTGGCTGAGCTCCTCGGGGTAGCGGTACTGGCAGTACCACAGGGACCAACCCTCGCGGTCAAAGTGCTCCCAGAAATGCGGCAGCGCCACCCCCAGCGTGTCCTCGTTGGAGTATTTGCGCTTGAACTCGTCCAGGATGAACGGGCTGGGGACAGGAGAGTGACCACAGTGACCACTGAGTGACCAGAGTGACCACTGAGTGACCAGAGTGACCACCGACCCACTGAGTGACCAGAGTGACCACTGACCCACTGAGTG